ATTGACTGTGGCCATATGTGCCTGGGGCGTCACTGCTTCCCGAGTGCTAGCCAGTGCCAACCTCCGAAAGATGGTCACGAAACTGCCTCAGCATCCCAACATTGAGATACTGGAACTGGTAGCAGTGGTCTAGGAGAGCCAGAGGAATCACTGTAGTTGGATAGAAACATTGCAACAGATGCATCAGTCCTCTAGGCATAAAATATCTTACACCTTAGACATATTATTCTCAAAATTGTAGATTCAATGGGGAAGCAGAGCAGTCAAAATTTCACCACACAGCTAGCTTGGAATATTTCTTGGAAACTTCACAGAATGGCAAACATTCTATAGCCTCTAAACATAGTATTTACAGTGGTAGAAGCTGGCACTCTTGTCTCGTATTTAGAAACAGTTATTCAGTTATTTTCACCTCATCAAAGATGCACAATTGGGAAGATGATCAATCCAGTTGTTTTATTCACATTAAAACGAGTTAACGAATAACTTTAGAATGCTGACAGGAGCTATATCAGTTAGTTTTGAGTGACAGTCAGTAAAAGGAAGACAAGTGAATTTTTTTTTATCTTTTTAATTTTGTGAGTTTGAAACAAGATTGCCTGCAGTTTCTAAGAGCTAAAAAAACATGTAGGGATATTATTTCTACTAGTTCAAACATTTTTTCTTTTTTTTTCTTGGTTTTCGCAAAAAAGGGTACTTACTATATTTATTGTACTTTGGTAGCCGCTGGTGCTGAAACTTGATGTCCCAGGTGGCATTCCTACAGCGATTCCCTATGACCTGAGGGAGTCCTGGGGCAGTTCGGTTATCCCGTGTGTGTTTAACCGTTCAGCGGTCGCGGCGGCGCTCAAGATCTTCGGCCAGTCGCGTCGGAGGGGTGCGATCACTTGGCAGTGGTTTGCCTCACGACGAGCAAGTTGGCGATGGTTCTGTCCTCCGCAGGAGAGTATAGCTTTGCAGCGCCGACTCACTTTGTCACTGGGGTGGTTAGGTGCACGCAAGTCACCTGGCGAACCAAGCACTCTATGTAACACCGACACACATTCACGTCGCGTCACGACGCTGATCACGTCGCCGACATCAGCCAAACGCCTGCTTGAAGACGCAGTACGTTAGTAGGTACGGTAGCCTGTCTTCAAACCGAAGCTCGCGGAATGCGTCTACGACGAAGATGATGGACGGCCTTCTCAACAGCCGGAGACGCTCGAACCAAGATCAATCCATACCGCCGTGATAGTGACGGCGGAAGCGCAATACGGCATCCAAGATCCCTCGCAGACGTAGAAGTGAACACGGCAGCCGAAGATCGAGCGTGAGGGACAGCCAGAGCAAGCAAGCACTACCGAAATTAACGAAAGAACTGTGCGAGCAAGCTGTCAGCTGTAGTGGCGGTAGTGGCGGAGCGCGGGAGGCTCGGCTTACGGATCGGCTTATGACGACGTTAGGTTGGCTAATGGATTTCGCCCCACGCTTCGCTTTATTTTTTCGTCAGAAACTAGTGAGCGCAACTTTCTATCCCAGTTTTTTGTTATATTTTCTTGTCCCAGCAGACAACACACACAAAAACAAGTGTTTTGCCGTGTTAAAATTGTTTATTGACGAAAACGTGTTCTATGTGCACGAAACGAATTTGCGATCGCAATTGTAATAGACATCACTTAAATGTCATTTTAGTTGTCGTCTGGCAGGTCCCATCTAGAGCACTATATAGCTCCTTCGGAGCAGAGTAGCGCAATCTAGAACGCCGCCTCTCGGCGACTAGCGGCGAACACCAGGAGGTTCCAACTGCGGTCAGAAATGCATGGAGAACGTGAGAAAATCGTCGTTTCTTCAGTGTTGTGGGAACGTACGGCATCGCAATCATTTTTGACATAATAATAGAACACTTTAGAATAATTTGCGCTAAGTTTTGTGCCCCGCAAGGACCTGACTTTTTTTTAAAAATTGCCTGAGCGGCATCATGCAGCAGACGACACGGCGACGTCACACCATTCACGTGACCCGCTCCGGCCAACCCGAAAAGCCCATCTCCGCTGCGAGCAAAAATCGTCTGCTTCAAACGCCATTGCCTCGGAAATTGCCTTCTCAAAATTTGCACACGTATCCGATATTGTTAAAACTTTGATAAAGTGTTTAGTGCTTTACTAACTTCACGACAGACTAGTTTTGAAAAGTGTGAACTCGCCGTTCATTTTTTAATCAGCCGTGTTGTGTCGATCTCCATGTATTCTCCCATAGGGCGGGCCGCCTCCTGGAACCCTGAGTACCACGTGACTCACGCCGAGCCGCTCTGTCGGCCATGTTGTCGGCAAAACACGGAGTTCAAAGGATTGCGCTACTCTGCTCCGTAGGAGCTATATAGTGCTCTAGTCCCATCCTGAATGTCATTTGAAAACCTGAATGTCATTTGGCGTAAATGCCATTTTAGCTGCCGTCTGACAGGGGTTTGGTGTGTTTGTACCTTTCATCTCGTCTTATCACGTCTACATTTGTACTGTTGGTCTTGGCTGCTTCTTTGTGTTCTGTTTATATACAATAATTTTAAATGAAGTGTTTAAAAATAGCAACCTTTAATTGTATAAGTGTCACCGCCACGAAGCGTAAAAGTTTTTTATTAGATCTAATTAATGAGGAGAGCGCGGACGTCATTTTCATACAAGAGACAAAGATCTGCTCCGCTGAGAAAGCAAAAAGTTTTGTTCGTTTTTTTGGAAACGTTTTTTGGTGCGTTCACACGCTCACGGCTAGCCCCTCCGGGGGAACCGCCATCCTAGTCAGAAAAAATACTGGCATCCGAATGCTGGACCCCAGACTGTGCGCGAGTGGGCACTTTGCACTTGCCGATTGCCTCCTTGGAGACCAGCTGGTGCGCCTTATATCGGTCTATGCCCCTAGCCGGCCGGGGGAGCGCAAGGACTTTTTCGTCGGATTGCGCGCACTTCTTGACACGCCCGCCACGCTCGTGGTCGGCGGAGACTTCAACTGCGTGACTAACAGTCGCGATAGAGTGAGCGGGTCGGCAGTCCCAAGAGCCGACGTGGGTGCGGCTGCGCTTCGCGACGCCGTGCGCGATTTCGACCTTGTGGACGTGACGGAGACGCAAGTTTTCGCCGCGGTTCACGAGGTGGAGGGGCGCGTCGCAGGCGCGGCTGGACCGCGTTTACGTCTCTGGCGAGTGGTCCGGGAGCGTCGTGTCCTACGATGCGAAGATTGTCCCGTTCTCAGACCACGGTTTCGTCGCGGCTGAGATTCTTGCTGGGGGCCCCGGAAGTGTGCGGGCAAGGCGCGACACGCCTTGGAAGATGAACTTCAGCATCCTCGAAAGCGAAGATTTTATTGAGGAGACGAGGCGTGCTCTCCAGAACCTGGAGGAGGGCGGCGCGGACGCGGTCTCGTGGGAGGAGTTCAAGATCATGCTCCGGAATACCGCGTGCGCGCTCGGCCGCCGCAGGGGCGCAGAAGAACGTCAAGCTCGGATTCACCTCACGAACACCCTCAAGGCACTGCTGGAGGAGGAGGAGAGCAGTCCAGGATCCTTCAGTGACGACATCAAGCTCTGCAAAGAGCACCTGCTGGCCATGCTGGAGGAGCGCTACAAGGGAGCCCAGGTGAGGAGCAGAGTCGAGACACTCGAGGGAGAGACGCAGCCCTCGAAGATCTTCCGCACACACGAGCGGAAAAGGGCAACAGAGAACACTATCAAGGAGCTGCGGCAAGGAGCTCGTGTTTTCACCTCAAGAGAAGACATCGCGGGCGTCTTCGAGACGTCCTTCGGGGAGCTCTTCCGGGAGGAGAGGCTTGACGATGTCGCTTTCGAGCCCTTTCTCCGGGGATCTCCTTCGGTTCCTGAGGGGGCGGTTGACATTTTGAACTGCCCAATCCGGGAGGCCGAGGTCCAACATGCAATCAAGCACCTGTCCCGTAACAAAGCTCCCGGCCCGGACGGCATCGGGTCAGAGTTTTACAAAATCTTTTCTGACGCTCTGTGCCCCATCTTGGCTCGAGTCTTCAATGACATCCGCAGACGAAGGCTACTTCCTCCGACCATGCGGCAAAGCTTCACGGTACTGATCCCGAAGAATTCTAAAAAGGGCCCTATTTCCGAGGTCGGGGACTTTCGGCCCATCAGTCTTCTTTGCTCTGATTATAAAATCCTGGCCAAGATCCTCGCAAGGCGACTTGACACAGGTCTCAAGTCCATCATAGGGCCCCATCAGACCTACGGCCTTCGCGGGAGGAAAATATCCAGGAACCTCATGCGGGCGATCGGCGAGGCGACGGCGGAGGGTCACCAGCCCCTGGCGGTCCTGCAGCTGGACCTGCGGCAGGCCTTCGACCGGGTGTCCCACAGGTTCCTCCTGGCGGCGCTGGATCGATTCGGCGTGGGGGAGGAGCTGCGGGAGTGGATCGCGCTCTGCTACCGAGACATCTCTACGCGCCTTCTCATCAACGGCCAGAGGGGAGGTCCCATCTCCATCGGGAGGTCGGTTCGGCAGGGCTGCCCCCTTTCGCCCATCCTCTTCGCGCTGCAGTTGGAGCCACTCTGCCGGGCAGTCAATGCGGACCCATCCATCTCAGGTTTACGGCTTGGGGACGAAGACGTCCGCGTTCTGGCCTTCGCAGACGACGTCTCGTTTATCTGCTCGTCCAAGGTACAGGTGCAGACCATCCTGCGACACGTGGACCGGTTCTGCGCTGCCTCAGGGGCCATGATCAACCGACAGAAGTCGGCGGGGGCGTGTCTCGGTGAATGGGCGACTACGCCAAGAACTTTCGGAGGTATAGGATGGAGCACTTCGCTCGACGGCTACCTGGGTGTGCCGGTGGACCCGCAGCGATCAATGGCCGCAGTTTGGAGACCGACCGCCAACTCCGTTGCCGCCAAGCTGTCGCCCTGGCGGTGCAGAAACTTGTCTTTCTTCAGCCGGGCTCACGTGTGCAACACAGTCAGCTACCCAGCCGTGCTGTACAGGGCTCAGGCCGTCTGCTGTCCGGGCAGCCAGGCCGGAAAAGTACACCGGAACTGGGCCATGTTCGTGTGGAAGTCCGCCATGGAAAGCACACGAAGGAACAACCTCTTTCTGCACCAAGAGAGCGGAGGTCTGGGCCTCGTTAACATCGTGCTCAAGCTGCACGTGCAGCGTTTTCTGCTTTTCCGGGATGCAAAGGACCCGACCTTCATCGCCGTGCTGCACCACCTTGGATTCCCACATCTCGGGAATTGGATGGTGAGCACGAGTGGCCGCACGACCAAGGGAGCCGCCCTGAGGTTCTACAAGGAAATCGCCAGCTCCATCGAGTTTCTGCAGGCCCAATTCTCCTGGGAATACCTGGCGACCGTCGGAAAGAGGCGGCTGTACTGGGATGCCGTTTCCGCATCCTTCCCGCCACCGCTCTACAGACAACCACCGACGCCCGACGACGCGACGCGACTTTACAAACTCGTGCGAATCCTTCCCATCCCTGTGGCGACAAGGGACTTCTTCGTCCGGATGCACATGGAGGTCCTTCCAGTTAAAACCTGGCTCCATCAAAAGGGGTTCTTCGTGCCGTGGTCCCTAAACTGCGACCTTTGCGGGGCGCCCGAGACCATCCAGCACGTCCTAGTCGAGTGTAGCAATGCCTACCTCTTCTGGGACGAGATGAGGACGACCAGTGGCGTACCAACTTGTTTTTGAGTGGGGGGGCAAACCCCCCCCTCTTCCCCCCCCCCCTTAATCGAAAATTCGGCGCAACTTTTGTCGAAGTTTTCTAAAGATGTGGCAATGATTCGGCAAAATTACAACGTTACCAGACTTAACATTGATATTTTGTTTTTTCTTACGAAAAAAATTTTGCTTCTTCTTCTTAAAATAAATACAACTTGTAGTGCCTATTGAAACAGTTATGATTAAATAAGGTGATATTCTACAAGATAATTGTATCGATGTCGCTTTTGTGTGTTTACTGGCAATTTTAGTGTTTGCTTGCAGAAAGTGGCGTGACAACGAGGTTGGGTAGTAGCCTGAGCAGTCACGAATCACACTACGAGAGTTTTGATTTTGAGGCTTCATCAGCGCACGCCTGCAAGTGTGTTTACATTGTTAAAATAAAGACAATCACTGCGTTCTTACTTTCTCTGGGAGTCACCGTTTCGTGCGCGAAAACGGATGCAACGGTTGTTTAGCCTTCACCAGAAGAGATAACAATACTGTAAATATGCATGTTTTTCGATTTGAGTCACTTGACGTCAGCTTTGCATGAAAGTGCGCGTTCCATATTCGCAACGTGCCGTTTTTAACCTTTAAAATTCCGGTTTCTGGTGTTAGGACACACACGGACGTTTAGGAAGATGGGGAGAGTTAGGAATGTCGGATGTGCAACGTCGAGCATGATAGTTCTGTGTTTAACGAATACTTTTCATCAGTGTTTACTAACGAGTGCTTGGACTTCGTCCCCACTCTCCCTGAAGAGCTTTACGAGCGCATGCATCCTATTAACGTTAACTCCGCTGGTATTAAAACATTGATTGATAAACTAAAACTTACTTCGACCGCTGGAACCGATAACATCAACCCTAAAATTTAAAAGAAACACCCGTGTTATTTCTAGGGAGTATTTGAAACTCATCTTCATTCAGTCCTCATCTCAAAGCTGCCTTCCATCTGACCAAAAGGTGGGAAGGGTAATTCCCAGTCTTTAAACAGGGCAGCCGCTCTTCCGCATCTAATTATCGCCCTAATTCATTGACTTCAATTTCTTGCAAACTACTTGAGCATATCCTCTACTCCAATATCATGAGGCACCTATCATCCCATTTCTTTTCTTTAAACAGCAGCACGGTTTTCAAAAGGTACTTTCCTGCGAAACGCAACTCTGCGACTTCATCCATGACTTGCACACTAACCTTGAATGTCACGTCCAAACTGACGCAGTTTTTTTTTTTTTTTTTTTCCAAAGCGTTCGGCCGTGTCCTCCATCAACGCCTTCTTTCTAAGCAATCATCTTTTTGCCTCGACCAATAACCGTTTGCATGGATTCGTGACTTTCTTTTTTCCCGTGTACAAGTCACGTACATGATGATCATGAATCTTCCTTAATAAATGTATCTCCTGGTGTTCCCCTGGGGTTCGTACTTGGGCCCTTACTCTTTTTAATATTTATTAATGACATTCCCATTGGGATTTCTTCAAAAAAACGCTTTTTCGCCGACGACTGCATCATCCATAACAAAGTAACTTGTGTGCAAAATAATAACCAGCTTCAGGAAGATCTAGATAAAATTAACAATTGGTGCAAAGAGTGGATTATGTCACCAAACAAGTATAAACGCAAACTAATCCACTTCACCAAGAAAAAAACCACTCTGTCATTTAATTACTTCTTGGACTCCGATCTGATTGAGACCGCTACTGTGTATAAATACCTTGGTGTAAGACTAACATCTGACCTTCCCTGGAATAACCACATTGAGGTCATTACCGCCGATTCATCTGGAACTCTTGGACTAAGCAGACGTAACTTAAAAAATCGCTCCACCCTTTGTCCCTAAGCTAACCTTTAACACGTACGTCAGACCAAAAATAGAATATGCTTCAACCATCTGGAATACTCATCGACTGTACCTCATCAATACGCTGTAGAGGCAGTTCAGAACAGAGCTGCTCGCTTCATTTCATCCACTTATGACTTTTCTTTCAGTGTCTCGGCGCTAAAAACTGAACTAACCATGTCCTCTTTGCAGCTTCGCAGGAAAGTCTCTCAGCTGTGCCTTATTCACAAAATCTACTACCACATTCCCGACCTCAAAACCACTTTGTTATTACCCCTCGACCGAACATCATCTCGCCTCAACAACGTCTGCACCATCAAACACACTTCTGGCTCTACGAACGCTTTCAATTGGTCATTCCTTTCTCAAGCCATCAGCCACTGGAACAGTCCCCCATCCTCCATTGTCACCATCTTGGACCCTGCTGATTTCTCCTCTGCAGTAAAACTACACCTTTCTTGGCCCATGTGATGGTGTGCGGGGCTAGGCAGATCAGTGAAAACACTTACGCAGAGCGCTTGCCAGGCCAGACTTGTACGTAGTTCAACTACTTTACTCAAGTTACTGTAGTTTAACTACTTTTCTGGGTAGTTTAGTAACTTTTAATTACATTTCTATTCTAGTAATCAGTAGTTTACTTTAACTACTTTTCCGAGTGACTTCCACTCAAATTACAAATTACTTTCTAATTTTAGTGGTTGTTTTGCCTATCAACAGAGAACAGAGGTCGGAAGGTCAGCTGATATTTGCAGAGGGGGAAGCATGCGGAGTAGAAAAGGGGGGGATGGGAAGGAAGAAAGTGATTTAGATAGTCCAAAAAACCCCAAAATTTTAATGAGCCCCCCCACTGCAACAACACTGCTACGAGGCGCGGGGAGCGAACAGACACGACGCAAGAGAGGTCGAGTAACTGTGGGATTAGCTCCGAATAGTGGCGTTTCTTTGTATTCCGAAGCTCAAGGAGACTTGACGCATTTGAAGAAAGGGCTTGTCCCCGCTTCTCTCCAATGTAGGAATTCTTCCCCACTACAGGAGGTGCACACACTGCTCCTTTTACGGTGCAGGCGATAGAACCCCTAACAACGACGCTCACGCCGGATGGGCTGCTCGTGTATCACTCGAAGCGCGTTAACCCACCCCCGCGCCTGCGTTCACGCCGCTTCGCGGTGACGGTGTGCGGCTGCTAATTACAAATCTATTAACCCACCTAGCCCCCCCACCCCCCGTACACGCCGCATTGCGGCGTCCGGTCGGCAACCCAAGCCGCGCTGCCCCCATCCACTTCCGTAAATAGAGTCGATACGATTTAGTTCAGCGATGTTTCGTCAACAACATTCGTTTGTTTAGTGTTAATGGTAAAAAAGAAATGTAAATATCGCCAAATGCCTCGACAAAACAAAATGTTCGAGAAAAAAATAAAAAGAAGTAAGCCGGCCCACACCATAAATAGAACCCGGGTCTGACACGTATGAGGCAGACATCTCACCACTAAGTTACGCTACCTCTTCGGAAACTCGCATTGCATCCGCTGCCTATGTTGACGGCGGCAGCGCCTATCTCCAAGCAAGCAAGCAAAACTTTATTTTGTGTAAGGGCCTACGTCCTGGTCTGGACGGCCCGTCCGGCCCATGTCTTGCGGATGGATTCCGTAAGGTTACCGTGTAGCCTTGTTCGTGGAGCAAGGCTTTACGAACCAGCCAATCCGGCGTGCGTGAGCACCGTTGCTAGGGTTTGTATCGCCTGCGCGTTAAAAATATGCCCGCGCGGGTCGGGGGGCAGTGCCCTTGGTATTCCTTGGGCGCCGCCGGCCTGTGTCTGCTCTGCCCAGTGGCGGCCGTTTCAGGGGGGGCAAAACGCATGCCTTGCCCCCCCCCACTCTGAGAACTGGAGGGGCAAGTGCCCCCCTTGCCCCCCCGGTTGGTACGCCCATGAGGACGACGTTTGAGCTCAGGGACTCCTTCGAAGTGGAGTGGAGCGTCTTCAAGTATCTGCAACTCGAGGAGAGGGATAAGACGGAGGTGGCGCACGTGATGATGCTGCTGGGCCTGCACGCCATCTGGCAGTCGCGTACCGCAATGGTGCAATGCCATCTCGACGCGCGTCCAACCTGGAGCTACTTCGTGTCCACGTTGGGGTGGGTGCTATCGGTGACGTCGCGGCAGCCGAACGCGGGTGATTGGGAGTGCATCGAGCGACAACTCGAGGAAGGTCGTCGCCGCTGCGTGCAACGACGTACGTCAGGCGTGGGAAACTGGCGAGTTCCTGTGAACTGTAGGCGCGTTGGCGTTGGCTGAGGTGTGCGGTGCGCGAAAGTGGACCGTGGCTCTTCCCCCCCTTGGAACTTCGCGTCCTTTTTTGTTCGATTTATTGATTTTTTTTTTTCGTACAGATTGCATAATTGCTCACGCGGTCTCATACTGTATCGTTTGCGTTTCCTCTCAATCGTTTCCGCCAAGTCTGGTCAGGTTTGTGTGACAGCTACTTACCGCACGGCGATAGTGTATCTTTCTTTTTTTTTTTCTCTCTTTTCAGAGTCTTAGTTTTTCACACTCGTCTCTACAGTTTGCATAACGTTTCTATACGAGCTATCCACCTGTCGTTTTCTGAATTACTTTTCAATGTGGCCTTGTATAAGGGTGTGTACTTGGGCTAGTTGGTTATTCATGAATAGGAGGTAAAAGCGCTAAAAACTTGTCCGTCGTTTTTTAGCGCTTTTACCTCCTATTCATGGCCTTGTATAATGTTTGCGGAACCTACTGCAAGGATGTCTGTAAATAACTTGTAAATAAACTTGTTTCGTTTGGAAAAAAAAAAAAAGGATGCGCCAGTAGCTCAGTGGGAAAGACGTCCGGTTTACACGCGGTAGGACCGGGTTCGATCCCCCGTGGAACTTAATTTTTTTTCTTCAAACATTTTTCGATGTTTACATGTATATATATATATATATTTTTACAATCACCACTGAAGAAACAAACAAAAAAATAACAAACTAATGTTGTGGACGATACTTCGCTGATTTAAATGGTACGGGATTTCCGTTTTGACACCTGCGAGCTCAATGTAATCACTTTCCACAAAATGCAAGGAGCATATAAATCAGGTAACGTCCGCTTTCCGAGGTGCCCGTATATGTTTTACAGGAATTGCAGCCAGCCGTTGGTCCCGATCCCGTTGATCTTTCGGAAACTCTGTCGCACAATGCCACTTTTTTTCGGATTCAGGAAATGTGAGCCAGCTCTTCACGCAACATCTTGGGTGTATTCTTTTCGGAGCCGATCATGGAAATTCACCACGGGCACTTACTACTCATGTCCAACTCCTCAATGTACAAAACAACTCATCTTGGAGTACAGAACAACGAGCGGAACAAACATAACTGCAAAAAAATCGCACGGCGAGCAGTTCCCGCACGCCCCATCGCACGCCGCATGTCCTGTCGTCTGCTACCGGAGAGGAGAAAAAAAAAAAAAAACGCACGGTAGGGTGTAGCCACGTGACTTCCGCCACTCACTCTCTTCTCTCCACTTCTCCAACCTCCGTCGGGTTTCGGTTTCGGTTTCGAGGAGTTGCGTCTTTTGGCTTTATTAAAAAAAATACGCTACTCTGTTGCAAAATATTAATTGGGTAGTCCTCCGACACCATAATAAAGCGCCTGGCAAAAAAAAATTTTTTTTTTTTGGGGGGGGGGGGGGGGGGGTGTCAGTGTCCCTTTAAAGGGCAACTCCGCTCAATTCCGAAAAATTTAGGCTTCCATGTGATTCACATTCACAAAGCACTACTAAACAACTCTACGTCTTCGGATTCGCGAAATGTGGAATATTATTTGTGTAATCCTAATTTAAACGTCAGCAGATACCGAAACCGAAACTTCGGTTGCGTCAGGCAACATCGGTCTCGGGTCGTCAAAGGCATGCGCGTCACGTCGAACCACGTGGTCTTGTGACGTTCGGGAGGGAGCGAAAAACAGGACACGCGACGCGGGCAGGTTTTTTTTTTTTTTTTTTTTTTTTTTTTTTTTATTGGACGCGGGAAGGTCGCTTCGCGTGGCGTGGACGGTGATGGCCTGGGTGAGAGGGGGAAGGGAAAAGACGAAAGAGAAGTGGAGCGGAGAAACAGACCGATAAGCGCGCAGGGCAGCGCAAAGTAGCGCATCCGTGTTACGGTGATCACGTGAACGCCCGGTCAGCCAACACCGGGAGGAGAAACTCATGACGTCATCGTTGCATTTCGCTCTGAGAAATAAAAACAAGCAAAACGTGAGAATGACGTACATGCCTCTGACGTAGTGGCTCAACGTTGGCCGCTCCAACTCCGTGGCATTGACTGCGCTGATGATTGCGCCTCGCGCCGCACGCTAGAGTTGGCAGATTTCGGCGACTTTGCTCGCTTGAAGGTTTGCCGGCCAGTTTATTAAATAAATAAACGGAATTAGATCGTAATATTTGACGTGGGGTCTTCCTATATGATACTGAAGAGGGCTACATAGTTTTCTAAATATCGAAAATGAAGCGGAGTTGCCCTTTAAGTATGAAACGAGCGCCACCGTTCTGAACTGACTCGAGATGAGAAGTGAGCGTCGTCTGACCCATAGAGTTATTATAATATACGCTAGAGGTTCAAGTGGCGCTAGTGTGCTGACGCAAATTGAAGCAGACAGCAACCAGTCGAAAATTGACTTCCGGTAACGCATTTCTATGGGAAAAAGTGAGTGCATTTTCTCCCTGCGCTCGATCATAAGAGCAAATATCCCGAGTAATTCGTACGTACTAAGTAGCTTGGAACATTTCTCAGTCAGGCCGACGAAATAATTGGTTAGTTACGGCGTTTTTCTTTCAAATTAGTCGGATTAAAAACTGTGCTCAAACGGCTTTGTACGTGTATTTATGTGCACTGTCGGACACGGTTAGCGCGAACACGACGTCGGCGCTTTTCAGCATGAGGGATATACGTGCCAAACGAACGAAGAACATCTGGAAATAAAGGGAGACGGACGGCAAGAACTACGCAGTAACACTGGATCAGTAACTACCAGCGCATGTACGATCAAAATAATTTGAAGGTCACGTAATATATTCCGATTTTAAATAAGCAAGTACCGCTTTATTCTTTCTGCTTTGTGCGAAGATGTTCGTTCTACGTTCAAAATATCACCCGCACGCTCGAAATCTTTGAGAACAACTGCCCGATAAAAGCTGCCTGGCAGAAAAAAACAATACCAAGAGACAAGTTTCATAGCCCACTCGCTCTATTATCTAAGTTTTGAATGTTTCTATCCGCTCATGCACGATGGGGTCATTTTCATATAGTGACAGGACTGGCATTATCAATATATATAAGGGTCACCGGAATGCTGGCAAGCCTTGAACGCACTCCATATTCCTTTCGATTGTAATTTTGCTTTGAATCGTCGTTTGTTCTTGCACATCTGCTGCGGAACACACGTTTGGGACTGAAATGTAGCCAAGTTAAACATCGCTCGCTGATGAAGAAAAATGCGTTAACTAAAGCAATTACACTTTTACAATGTTAATTAAGACACATACTATTCAATACGACCGAAATAACCAAAGTGCTCCGTGTTATTTTCTAGCGAAGAGAGAAAATGCACGCGCGTTTTCCCATAGGAATGCACAGGAGCACCGCAAAAGTAGACTGGTTGCTGTCTGCTTCAATTTGCGTCACGGAAGTCGCATAGACACTAGCGCCAGTTGAACCTCTAGCGTACATTATAATAACTCTATGGTCTGACCAGGATCCCAGATTGAAGCTGCATACTCTAATTTTGAGCGAACCAAAGATTTGAATAATATTTGTTTGAGAGAAACTGGTGTTAGAGAAAAGTTACGTTTTAGGTAGCCTAACATAGAATTGGCATTAGCAATGATGTGGTTAATATGAATATGCAAGGAGAGGTTAGAAGTAATATGCACACCGAGGTATTTATATGAGGTCACACATTCTAAAGAAACGTTATCAAGGTGATAGATAAAAGGCGTAAAGGGTTAAAATTATTTGACGAAACATGTTTTTGAAACCCGGCGTGAACAGCAGTCCGGTTTTTGAGGACCTGGTAAAAGTTTCACGAAATCGCAGCACCGGAAGAAAAGCAGCACAGCACGTATCGAAAGTCGCATCAAAAGAAGCATCGAAAGCAGACGACGGTACGGAGTCTGACGCACGAGGACACAGCGCACCCGTAACAAACACTAGGACAACGTTCACAATCACACCAAAAGAAAGGCTGACTTCAACTCTTTGTATATTCCCGCCTTTTCTCTTCTTTCACGTCTAATGCATAACCTAGGCCTCATCTTTTTCTTTCTTTGCTAAAGGTTAACTGTAAAAATTTTTTAAGCCAGAAATTGAAAATTAAAAATTAAATGAAAAAATTAAATGAAAAATAATTACTGTAGATCAATGATGCAAAGCTAAGTAATCCAGCTCTTTTTGTGACAGCGCTATAGATGGATTACTAATACACCTGCCGTTTTGCCTGGCAATGTTCTCCGCTTCTATTATTTCCCTTGTGAGCTGGTCTCGGCTCCTTGCCAACACCACACACTTGTCAAGTTCCGCTGTGCACCCACAGTCCCGAATGTGTATGCCAACATCTCCAGAGTTCTTGTTGATGGTGGACAAGTTGTGTTCTCTAAGGCGGTGGTTTAAACACCTACCCGTCTGTCCGATATATGTTCTTCCACAGGACAGGGGGAAGGAGTAGACCACATTTTCAGTGCATCGAACGAACTTATTTCTGTGATTCGTTGTGCAGGACGTCGGTGTTCTTGAAGGAGTGTTTACCCTCTTGCACAGGCTGTAGAGCTTGTTCGGAGCGGAGAAAATAACGTCCGTGCCTACTTTGTTTGCTATTTTCTTGAGGCCATGAGAAAAATGATGGAGATATGGCACAATCACTGGTCTTTTTGCCCTGTCCCGATGACTTTTCTTAAATCGCTCATCATGCTTAAATTCTCTGAAAAGTCCTTCCGCCACTGATGTTAACAAGGATGGTGGATATCCAGCGCGTTTTAATCTCGACACTTGCCCATCAAAGCTCCTTTGGATGGAATGGAAGCATGACTTCGTAAGAGAGTTCTTAAGGCACAACCGCGCTATGCCTCTCTTTACTAGTTTTGAATGCGCTGAGTTGAATGGCAGAAGTGGCTTCTTTCCCCTTGGCTCGTAAGTCCAGCACGTATGGTACGGTGACGTACAAAGACGAAGATCTAAGAATCTCAAACTTCTTTCACTTGGAAGTTCGTGGGTAATCTCCAATGGGTTCATGCACCTTTTGAAACTGTTGAGAATGTCTGGTACCAAGGCTGTCAGATTTTGGTCATCGGTGGCGAGGACAATTAAGTAATCGTCGACATATCTGAATACTTTTTTAACTTTTGACCCGTCGAGAGTTTGGTTTAAATTCCTGTCAAGGTGTGCGAGATACAGGTCACTGAGGATAGGTGCAATGCACGAACCAATACACACCCCTCTCTTCTGTAGATACGTGTGTCCATCCCAGGTGGCGAAGGTA